ACTTATGGTCTAAAATCGTGATTTCGATGAGGCACGTTTTGACTGTATCAAATGAAATATACCCTCTGTAGCCATATGGTTGAGGATCTAATTGGTGTCCCTCTCGTTTTCGGGAGTGACCCTACGATATTTGACATCAGTCTACTGATGAGTATCTTCTGTGTTTTTTGTCTGGATTACAACTACTAGAGTATCTGGGTACTAGAAAAGTGCTCTCACACATACCTACCATTATAGCTAATGTTGCAAAGTTCCAGATCTAGTACAGAACCCTGTAAAGAAGTTAGTGTGAAATAAATTTGGTCAATGGTAGGAAAGTGGCCACAAGACTCTAACAGTGTGCGTAAGTGCCTGCGTACCCACCCATACTTAAGCGCACTCAAATTGATATGAAGAAAGATATACGACAGCGTTGAGACCAAAAATCAAACCATATCTACCAAACAATACCAATTAGTTTGATCAAACATTAGCGAACACCAAAACACGAAACGTTTGACAAAGCGGAACACCCACCAACACAAACCGTGTCTCCCCAAACATTTTTCCAGTCACACAAATACATACAAACACATACACATCGATGCAATCGGTGACACTGGAGCATGTTTAATGAATGTATTAACGTTGTGCCGACTGGGCCATATTTTATTTAATTAACTTTTGAACGGCTTCAATTTGAATGAAAGTACAGTAGAACCTTTAAAATTTGGAATTAAAAAATAAAAACAAGTAGGAAATGTTCATTATGGAAGGGAAAGATCGATGACATTTGTTTGGTGTTGGATGTGCAATCGGTGTTGGGTATGAGTTGTTGTCATACCCAATATTTTGTTTTTTTTTTAAGTATCAGCCTAAAGAGTGATTTTTTAAGAGCTTGATAACTTTTTTTTTTTTAAAAACGCATAAAATTTGCAAAATCTCATCGGTTCTTTATTTGAAACGTTAGATTGGTCCATGACTTTTACTTTTTGAAGATAATTTCATTTAAATGTTGACCGCGGCTGCGTCTTAGGTGGTCCATTCGGAAAGTCCAATTTTGGGCAACTTTTTCGAGCATTTCGGCCGGAATAGCCCGAATTTCTTCGGAAATGTTGTCTTCCAAAGCTGGAATAGTTGCTGGCTTATTTCTGTAGACTTTAGACTTGACGTAGCCCCACAAAAAATAGTCTAAAGGCGTCAAATCGCATGATCTTGGTGGCCAACTTACCGGTCCATTTCTTGAGATGAATTGTTCTCCGAAGTTTTCCCTCAAAATGGCCATAGAATCGCGAGCTGTGTGGCATGTAGCGCCATCTTGTTGAAACCACATGTCAACCAAGTTCAGTTCTTCCATTTTTGGCAACAAAAAGTTTGTTAGCATCGAACGATAGTGATCGCCATTCACCGTAACGTTGCGTCCAACAGCATCTTTGAAAAAATACGGTCCAATGATTCCACCAGCGTACAAACCACACCAAACAGTGCATTTTTCGGGATGCATGGGCAGTTCTTGAACGGCTTCTGGTTGCTCTTCACTCCAAATTTGCTTATTTACGTAGCCATTCAACCAGAAATGAGCCTCATCGCTGAACAAAATTTGTCGATAAAAAAGCGGATTTTCTGCCAACATTTTGGTAATAAAATTCAATGATTTGCAAGCGTTGCTCGTTAGTAAGTCTATTCATGATAAAATGTCAAAGCATACTGAGCATCTTTCTCTTTGACACCATGTCTGAAATCCCACGTGATCCGTCAAATACTAATGCATGAAAATCCTAACCTCAAAAAAATCACGCTTTATTAGAGGTTTCAACTTTATGAGAAATGAACATTTCACCAAAATAATTTTATACCGCAAGATGTAGTATTTGACGAAGGTTTCACTGTCCATCAATATTAAAATATATTAAAGACAGCAAGGGTTTGTGCCCGCGTGTGTGTGTGAGGGGGATACAAAACGACGAAACTTAATATCAAAGCAACAAACAAAAAAATACAACTTTCACAAACTTGAAAACGATAAAAATCTAAATGACACCACTCAAACATCGCATCAAAAATAGGCCGTTCAAACATTTCTTGAAAACGGCTGACACATCTAAATCCCAGAGTGGAGGGAGTGGAGGTTCACTCGATAATTGTTTGAAAATGTTTGAACAAATCGATGTTCATTTGCAGACAAACATTTTTTGTTTGAACAATTCCGCTATTATGATAATGAATCTTTAAACATTTTAATGGAATTCAAATAGAAGGAATGTCGTCGTATTTTCGGAAGTTGGTATTGTTTTGAAATATTAGGAATTACATTTGTAATTAGCAACATTTAGAAAAAATATTTCAGATTCGGACGACGAATAGTACGGATTACTATACCCATGAAAAACATTTCTATATAAATCATGAGGATTGATCTCTTCAGAAAAGGTGATTTCTATAAAAAAAAAATTGATCTCAGCAAGTGAGGATCGATTTTTGTCTATAAAAAATATTCTTCCTTAGAAACTGAAGACTGAAAAAAAAATCATCAACACAGCCTGATTATTCTGATTCTATAAAAATATAAGAAAACTGAGGTTATCTCTTTTTAATTAATACTAGCTACACAAATATATATATTTTTTTTGTCCTGGAACTAAGGTTTTTTAAGAACTAAGGAGTTAGTGTCGTTTTCAGGGTGTGAGAATTGATTCGTCCTTGGAAAAAATCAGAAAAAAATCTTTTTCCAATGTTAAGACTTGATATCTTTAATAGAAAAAATTCATCCCCAGGAGTTAGGCCTTGATTTTTTCCGTTCCTGAAATAAGGTTTTAAGAACAATGTTAGTGTCATCTTCAGGATGTTAGGATTGATTCGTCCTCAGAATCAGAAAAAAAATTTTGCTCTGGAGTTAAGACTTGATTTCTTTCAGAGAAAAAATGTCCTCCCCAGGAGTTGGGCATTGATTTTTTCAGTTCAGTATTCATTTCAATCCTCAGAATAGAACGAAATTTTCGTATGAAAAGGGCAGTCAGGACGAAATTGTTTTCTATAAAAATGCGTTTCTCAGGCTTTTGACGTGGAACTAATGTTTTCTCGGAAACTGATTTTTTTCTAATAAAATTTCGTCCTTGGAAACTCATTCTTGATTTTTTTGTCCCCTGGAACTGAGACCTAATTATTCCTATAGAAAAAATGTTCTCCTCAGGAACTTAGGTCTGACTTTTTAATAGAAAAAAAAATTATCCTCAGATATCGAGAATCAACTTTTTTCTATAGAAAAATTTCATCCTCAAGACTTTTTTTGCTATGGAAAAAAATTCGCCTCCATGACTGAAAAATTTTTATCATCAGGAACTGAGGAGCTGGCACAAAGGACTGACTTTTTTCCAGAAAAAAATTCGTGCGCATGATCTGAGACCTGATTTGTTTTTGAAAAAAAAAAAATAGTAACTGAGGCCTGACTTTTTTACCCTCAGCCATATGGCTGAAAAGGGCCAATCCGCGCCTCATCGAAATAACGGTTTTAGACCCTAGATCTCTTTGGACCAAATCCGTTTCAAGAAATTTGGAGTCCATCTAGCGATGTACGTCCATCCGTCTGTCTGTCTGGCTGGTGCGCACAAAAACTCTTGAAGGGAGCATCCGATTTGGTCCAAACTTGGAACATCGTAATATTATTGTCAAACTTAGATCGAGTTTGGAGATGGGCAATGTTGGTCCACTCATTCTGGTACAACCTCCACAAATTTTCAAACAAATATTTTACTGCACAGAAAGAGAAAGGATAATGCGATTTTGCTCCAATTTTGCAAATCCGACAAAGAGTCAAAATTTTGAATAATTATTACTCCTATAAAATGTAAGAGTCCGATTATCTTAAAATTACATATAACACATTATTTTTATTAACCCAAGGTCTGGTGTGAAGATGGTATAAATCGGTCCACTCCTTCTGGTACCTCCCCCACAAAGGGTCAAAATTTTGAATATCCATGAAGATCATAAAAAGCGAAATTAAGAGCCGATTCCATTTAGACTTGGTATATCTCAATATTTCCATCAACACAAGATCTGTTGTAAAGATGGTACAGATCGGACCATTCCTTCTAGAACCTCCCCCACAAAATATTAAAGATTTGAATAACCAAAATTATTCTAAAATTCGAAATAAGCATCAGGCTCTCTTCATATTTTACACATCCAATTATTTCTACTAACACAAGATCCGCTGTGAAAATGGGATATATCGGTCCATCCCTTTTGGCACCTCACCCACAATAGGTCAACATTTTGAATATCCATGAAGCTCATAAAACGCGAAATTGGCATCCGATTCCATTCAGACTTAGTACATCTCAATATTTCCATCAACACAAGATCTGTTATAGAGATGGTAGAGATCGAACCATTTCTTCAAGATTTTGGAAAACAACAAGCTCAAAACAAGCGAAATAAGCATCCAACTCTCTTCAAATTTTGCACATGCAGACATTTTTGTTAACATAAGGTCTTTTATGAAGATGATATGCTGCGAACTACTTCTGGTACCCCATCCATAAAGAGTCACAATTTTCAATAATTTTATCTGTCTTAACTTACGAGAAAAGTCAGAATTAACTGTGGAAATTATTTCTTATTTAAATATTTTACAAGAAAAGTCATCACTGATAATAGTTTCAATGAAAGCTTCTACAGGAAAATTCAGCACTGATAGCATTTTCTTTAAGAAAATGAGCCACTATTAACACTTTCTATAAGAAAAGGCTTCACAGACTACTTTTCAGTTACCACCAATGATATTTTCGCCCAGTGAAGTTATTACTACATATTTTATATATTGGAAAATGTTCCATAGGAGAAGCCATCACTGGTTTTCTTTAGGAAAATACATTACCGATAAAAAAGAAATTTTCTATAGAAAAAGTTAGAATTGATGATGATCTGTGGCGACATTTTCGTATTCGCTTTCAATTTCAAATTTTGAAAATTATTTCGTTTTTTTTAACACATATTTTCTTTTTCCCATTTTTTTTCAGACATTTCCCCACATGAAATTGCCGGCGTTCGTTATGGCAAGTGCAAATGGTTCAATGTGGCCAAGGGATGGGGTTTTCTGACACCCAACGATGGAGGCCATGAGGTGTTCGTACATCAGGTTGGTAATAGAAAACAAGAACTTTTAATATCCTCCAGCATATGGAAGGAACTTGAAAATTAAAAAAAAAAAAATCCGTCCAAAAATATCGTTTAAATGGAAATCGTTATATGAGGGCTATACGAAGACGATGACCTGCATAAGTATTTTTTTGTCATTGGCTACAGTACCAATTCCGAATGTCAAATACGAAATGCAAAATAATTTCGGTGAATAATGTCGCTAATATCATCGAAATACCGAATAAAGGGAGGTATCGTTACATAATTTTCTGTCATAGGTTGTAGTACCCATTACGAACTGCAAATACGAAGTTTGAAACAATTCCAGTGAATAATTTCGCTAACATCATTAAAATACCGAATAAAAGGAGGTACCGTGATATATGGGCTATACGAAGACACGGACCTGCAAACACAATTGTCTGTCATAGGCTGTAGGATCAATTATGAATTTCGAATACCAATTTGAAAACAATTCCGGTAAATAATGTCGCTAAAACCATCAAAATACCGAATATCAGAAGTTATCGTTATATGGAGCCTATACGAAGACGTGGACCTGCATAGATCATTTTCTGTCACAGGCTGTAGGATCAATTACGAACTTCGAATACAAAATTGGAAACAATTCAGGTGAATGATGTCGCTAAAACCATCAAAATACCGAATATCAGGAGGTATCGTTATATGGGGGGTTATACAAAGACGTGGACCTGCATACGCAATTGTCACAGGCTGAAATAATTCCGGTCTATAATGTCGCTAAAATCATCAAAATACCGTTATTGAGGTGCTATAAGAAAACAATTCGTTCGAAAGATAGCGTGACAGACGGACATTGCTAAATCGACGTAGAACTTTACGATTATCAAAAATATATATCCTTTTTTGGGTCTGACATGAGTATTTCGATTAATTACAAACGGAATGACAAAGTTAAGATACCCTCCATAGTATCGTGGAGGTTATGAAGAAAATATACACGTTTCGACAATTCACATACGTTTTCAATTTACATACTAAACACTCTAGTTCATCGATGTAATCAATATTAAATTGACTGACTCGCTTCTACTCACTCGTAATTATACAACTTCATTTACACTTGGCAGCTTCGGAGATCTTAATCCAGCATGTTCCATAATTTACAATGACATGGCAACCACGTCCATTCATCAACGAAAATACACACACATACAAGGAAGTAAGACATGAAAATAACAAGGGCAAAATTATTATGAATACGAGTGAGAGAAAAAATGTATTTATGACATCATTATTATTTTTAATGAACGTTGTTTATATTTAATTGGAATATTGCAGAACATGCTGGATTAAGATTCTCGAAACTACCAAGTGTATATGATCACTTATAAATACGAGTGAGTAAGAACGAGTCATTCAAAGCTAAAACTGACACATAAAGAAAGAAGTATAGGAAAGAATATACAACAACCACAATCTGGGTTAAGATTCTTGAAACTACCAAGTGTAGATGAGAACGTATAAATACGAGTGGGTAGGAGTGGGTCAGTCAAATCTAAGACTGATACATTAAGAAGGAATTATGGGAAATAAAATACAATAAGCACAATCAGAATTAAGATTCTCGAAGCTATTAAGTGTAGATGGGGATGTATAAATGCGAGTGAGCTTGAGCGATTCAGTCAAAGCCAGGAGTGATACATAAAGAAAGAATTATGGGAAAGAAAATACAAAAACCACAATGTGGATTAACATTTTCGAAGCTACCAAGTATAGAAGATGGGGACATATAAATACGAGTGAACAGGAGCGAGTCAGTCTAAGCTAAAACTGATACATTATGAAAGAAGTATGGGAAAGAAAATAAAACAACCTCAATATAAATTAAGATTTTCGAAGCTACCAAGTGTAGAAGATGAGGACATATAAATACGAGTGAGCAGGAGCGAGTCAGTCTAAGCTAAGAATGATACATAAGAAGTATGGGAAAGAAAATACAATAACCACAATCAGGATTAAGATTATCAAAGATATCAAGTGTAGATGAGGACGCTTAAATACGAGTTAGCTGGAGCGATTCAGTCAAAGCTAAGACTAATACATAAAGAAAGAAGTATGGGAAAGAAATTTTATAGTTGCTATAAACCGATTAAAGGAACTCCATAAAAAAATTACCTTACAATTCAACAGAAAATTATCTAAATTACCCACAATCTATTCGATTTGAATTCGCAACAATATATTTAACCAAAATTCGCAAAAAAAATAATTTTCTAATTTTCAGAGCATAATACAAATGTCCGGCTTCCGTTCACTGGGTGAGCAGGAAGAAGTCGAATTCGAGTGTCATTTAACCGAAAGGGGTCTTGAGGCCACCAGGGTCTCTGGAATACAAGGTATGATTGAATTAATACGTATTTTAATATTTCAACATCTAATCCTATCTCCCTTGCAGGTAGTGATTGTCATGGCAGTACATTTCGACCGCGCAGCAAGAAACGTCATCGACGTGTACGCTGCTACAACTGCGGCGAATTTGCCAATCATATTGCCTCGAAGTGTCATCTAGGACCCCAGCCCAAACGTTGTCATCTATGCAAGCAGGATGATCATCTGTTTGCCAATTGTCCAACTAAGAAGGTAAGTATCCGGCATTCTACCCTTTTATGAATCCTTACATTTTATGAAATGATGAGTAACTCTCTTGAACTTTCTTGCAGAATCAAAATGTGGATCAATCCAGTGCTAATCCTGATGAAGAAAATTCCGGCGCTGGTGGTGGCAATGAAGAAGAAAATGTGGCCAAGGATCAGAGTTAACAAAGGACATTGGGATAAGACGAATGGAATTGGATGAGGAATAATGCACATTTATTGGCAATTTGGTGCCATACTTTTTTTTGTATTGTATAAAGAGGCTATGCGAAACGAATGTACAATTTTTTAGGATTTTAGACTCATAACACTCGTTTATTAAATTTTAAGAATATTTTTTTTTATTTTTTATTTGCTAATAAATATTACAAATAAAAAAAGAAAAACAAGTAAAAAAGTATTGGTCGATCTCTACCATCTTTACATTAGACCTTGGGTTACTAAAAAATATGAAGAGAACCGGATGCTTATTACGGATTTTATAATCGTTTTAATTATGGTCCGATCTGTATCATCTTTATAGCCGATCTTGTGTTGATGAAAACAATGAGATATACAAAGTCTGAATGGAATCGGATGTTAACTTCCCGTTTTATGAGCTTCATGGATATTCAAAATTTTGATTCTTTGTGGGGGAGGTACCAGAAGGAGTGGATCGATATATCCCATATACACAGCTGATCTTGTATTAGTTGAAGTAATGGGATGTGCGAAATATGAAGAGAACCGAATGTTTATTTCGAATTTTATAATCGTGGGGGATCGTTTGACCCTTTGTGGGGGAGGTACTAGGAGGAATGGTCCGATCTCTACAATTTTCATTACAGATCTTGTTTTGATAGAAATATTGAGATTTGTCAAGTTTGAAGGGAATCGGATGTTTATTTCGGGTTTTATGAGCTTCAGGCATATTCACAATTTTGATCCTTTGTGGGGGAGGTACCAGAAGCAGTGGACCGATATATTCCATCGTTACACCAGACCTTGGGTTCACAAAACTATTGTGATTTGTGAAATATGAAGAGAACCGGATGCTTATTCCGGATTTTATAATCGTTTTAGTTATTCAAAACTTTGACCCTTTGTGGGGGAGGTAACAAAAGGAATGTTCCGATCTCTGCCATCTTAATTTCTTGTGTTGATAGAAATATTGAGATGTGCCAAGTTCGAATGGAATCGGATATTAATTTCGCCTTTTATGAGCTTCAAGGATATTCAAAATTTTGACTCTTTCCGGGGCGGAACCACAAGGAGTGGACCAATATATCCCATCTTTACACCAGACCTTGGGCTAATAAAAATAATGTGATGTGTGCAATATGACGAGAACCGGATTCTTATTTAGGATGTTATAATCGTTTTAGTTATTCAAAACTTTGATCCTTTGTGGGGGAGGTACCAGAAGAAAAAACCCGATCCCTCCTATATTTATAACAGATCTTCTGTTGATGGAAATATTCAGAAGTACCAAGTCTAAATAGAATCGGATGATTATTTCGCGTTTTATGAAATTCATGAATATTCAAAATTTTGACCCTTTGTGGGGAAGGTACCACCAGGAGTGGACCGATATATACCATCTTTTCACCAGACCTTGGGTTAATAAAAATATTGCGATGTGTGAAATATGAAGAGAACCGCATTCTTATTTCGGATTTTATAATCGTTTTAGTTATTCAAAACTTTGATCCTATGTGGGGGAGGTAACTGAAGGAATTGTCCGATCTCTACAATCTTTATAACAGATCGAATAGAATCGGATTTTAATTTCGAGTTTTATGAGCATTACGGATATTTAAAATGTTAACCATTTGTGAGAGAGGTACCAGAAGGAGTGATCGATATATCCCATCTTTACACCAGACCTCGGGTTCCTAAAAATATTGTGATGTGTGAAATATGAAGAAGACCGGATGCTCATTTCGGATTTTATAACCTTTTAGTTATTCAAAACTTTCACGCTTTGTGGTGGAGGTACCGGAAGGAATGGTCCGACCTCTGTCATCTTTATAACATATCTTGTGCTGATTGAAATATTGAGATATGCCCACTTTGAATGGAATCGGATGTCGCGTTTTATGAGCTTCATGGATGTTCAAAATTTTAACCATTTGTGAGGGAGATACCAGAAAGAGTGGACCGGTATATCCCATCTTCAACAGACAACAGACCTTGTGTTAATAAAAATATTGTAATGTGTGAAATATGAAGAGAACCGGATGCTTATTTCATATTTTACAATCGTTTTAGTTATTCAAAACTTTGACTCTATGGGGGAGATACCAGAAGGTGTGGTCCGATCTCTACCATCTTTATAACAGACCTTGTGTTGAAGGAAATGTTGAGATTTACCAAGATTAAATGGAATCGGATGTTAATTTAGCGTTTTATGAGCTTCACGAATATTCAAAATTTTGACCCTTTGTGGGGGAGGTACCAGAAGGAGTGGACCGATATATTCCATCTCCACACCAGAGCTTGGGTTAATAAAAATATTGTGTGAAATATGAAGACAATCGGATTCTTACGTCACATTTTATCAGAGTTATAATTATTCAAAATTTTGGACCTTTGTGGTGGAAATCCTTCATGGAGTGGACCCAATATTGTCAACTTTCCCACTTGACCTAGCACTGATACAAATATTAGAATTTGCAAAGTTAGAACAAAATCGGATTATCCTTTCTCTTTCTGTGCAGAAAAATATTTTTTGAAAATTTCGACCTTTTGTGGCAGAGGTACCAGAAGAAGTGGACCGATGTTGCCCTTCTTCGAACTCGATCTAAGTTTGATAATAATATTACGATGTATAAAGTTTGGGCCAAATCGGACACTCCCTTTGAGAGTTATCGTACGTATCAGCCAGCCAGACAGACGGATGGACGAACATCGCGTGATCGGCTCCAAATGTTCTGAAACGAATTTGGTCCAAAGAGACCTAGTGTCTAAAACCGTTGTTTCGATGAGGCACATTTTGGCCCTAATCTGGTAATGCTATATACCTTATCCAGCCATATAGTTGAGGGTATAAAAATTAAGGGTTGGGGAAAAAATTAAAACTCCAGATTTTATAAAAAATATATATTTTTACAAGGACTATTTCCTACCAAAAAATTTTAACACTGACATTCCTTCTGCCCTACACTCATATCCTTTGCTTTACCACTTTACCTTCAACTCTAAGCTTTTATCCTCGCAAAAGGCAAACGTACTTCATGCTTCCTATCTTTTGGGGTAAATGGACTATCAAGATGTCTTTACCGGTGGCAGTGTAATGGATATGTTACTTCCATTGTATTGCAAAATGATTAGAGGTCCTTGCTGCTCGATTCAAGTTTCAAACTGTCGCATAAATGTTTCGCTCCTTAAGAAAACCTTGCACATAGACTAGTAAAGCTTTTAGCCACAGCCTAAAGGGCCAGCACAACACACACAGTCAATGTGAATTGCATGCTACTGACCCAGTAACAGCACTCGAAATATAAAAACCAAAACAAAAGACTAACAAAACTGTGCAATATTTTATCAGCGAAAAGGACAATATTTGAGTTTGAAACATAAAATAAAATTCCGCTTGGTTTTTAAAATTTAAAGAAAACACAGTTTTCAAAGTTCAAGCTTTAACATTGTAAGGAGCTATGTTAAAGCTCCTTGGCCGTGAGAGGGAGCGAGAAATGTTTGTTGACATCGTGCATATCCTGTCATGCGCATTGGGCGCCACTGATAAGGAAGCTTTTCTCAATAAGTCACGTGCTAAACTACTGAATGTTTGACTCAACATTGAATAAAAAAAAACAAAAACACTACAAACAAATGTTACGCGAAAGTAACGCAGAATCCCAGTGCAAGAGATTCGCCCTAACCCACCTCAAGAACAAACACAGGCATGTATCCACCCATTGTGGCAAAAAAAGGTGGACCGTGGTTTCAATAAAACTGGGCGACAAAATTCAATTTTATCAATAATTACAGAAAAATTTAATAGATTATGAAATTAGAGCTAAAAAAAGAAGACAAGTGTATCGACGTTTTGAAAATTTGCATGGCAAAGCAAACTAAATTGAGGGAGCATTTTCCCCCCCTCTACAACATTTTTGAAATTTTCGAATAAGAATTCCTTGGTATCCGGCCATTAAAAGTGCAAAGTGTCTCTGGCAATATTAAAGATAACAATACGAGTGTTATTAGGGTTAAAATTTTTAACCCACAAGCGAGCCAACAAAGGGGTCTTTTTGGGCCATTTTTAGGATATGCTTAAAAACTCCCTTTAAACAGGATCGAAGCAAGTTATAATATTCTGAATAATTGTTTGTCATAATATTTTACTATAGGTCTCAAAAGATATCAAAAGTCTGGATCATACCCCCCTCCAGCACATTTTTTTGAAATTTTCGAATAAGGATTCCTTGGAATCCGGCCATTTAAAGAGTATAGTGGCTTTGGCAATATTAAAGACAACAATACCAGGAATATTTCGGTTGAAAATTTTAACCCATAAGCGTGCCAGGAAAGGTGTATTATTGGTCTCTTTTTCAAAATGTGGTTCTATAAACTCCCTTTAAACGGGATCGTAGCAAGTCAAAATATTCTGGAAAATTGTTCGCCATAATGTCGAAAGTCTAGATCTGACCTAAACGCCAGGAATTCATAAATATTAAAAAAATGTGGGGACGTGTTTCCCCTCCGAACATTTTTTGAAATTTTCGAATTAAGACTCCTAGGAATCCGTGCATTTAAGGTATATAGTAGTTTTGGCAATATTAAAGATAAAAATACGAGGAATATTTTGGTTGAATATTTTAACCCACAAGCAATCCAAGAAATAGGGTCTTTTTAGTATCATTTTTCAAAATATGGTTCAAAACTCCCTTTAAACGGGATCGTAGCAAGTAAAAATATTTTGGAAAATTGTTCGTCATAATATTTTACTATAGGTCTTAGAAGATGTCGAAAGTCTAGATCTTACCTAAACACCAGGAATTCATAAATATTAACAAGTTAAAAAGCAGTAAGTTCGGCCGGGCCGAACTTTTAATACCCTCCACCATTTGCAACGAATTTGGAAATTTTCAAAAAATAAAATTCTTAAAAAATTCTGTTAAAATTTTAAAAATACCGAATATAGCCGTTATTTTGGGGTCTATACAACGTGGACATGCATAGGCATTGTTGGTCATAAGCCATTACCATATTCAAATTCGAAACTTGAAATAAACGGTGAACAATGTAGCTAAAATCATCAAAATACCGAATATAGGGAGGTACCGTTATATGGGGGCTATACGAAGACCTGGACCCGCACAGACAATTTTCTGTCACAGACTTTAGTTCCCATAACGAACTTCAAATACCAATTTTAAAACAAATCCGGT